AGGATTCAGGAACTTAGTATCTGACCTTAATCCACGAGTTATAGTTCCTGACCGAGTGACCTTGGCAAGAAAATTAGCAAACACGGTCAACAAGATTCTATGTAATTTTGACTTACTCAAATACACATAAAACTATAATAAAACCTTTATATATGCAATTTTCCCGCTTGTGCGAATTCCAGGTAAAACCTAAAATTCACTCAACCACGTTCAGGATTACAATGTTCACATATCATCAGACATATGGACAAGTAGACAGGGTGACGGAATTATGGGACTTAAATACCATTATACTCAAAAAGATACGCAGAACCGAACATGGAAATTGGTGTCAAACGTCCTCTCAGCCGTGCAATTTAATGATCGCCACACCGGAGAAAATATAAAGCAAAAATTCCAGCAATCTATGGATCCATTAGGAATTAGCACGACCAAGGTGAATAGTAAGAATAAACATTCAATTTTGTTAATGATAAATAAATAATGCAATACTTTTAAACTCAGATCGGTTATCTTGTGACTGATGGTGCTAGCAATATGGTTTGCGGCTTTAGGAATTGTCAATTGCTAAGTATGGAATTCATCTAAACAATAAAACAAAATGGTACTAATTCGCTCAAAAAATTAGATAACAAGTACATACCGTATATATTTGTAATACAAATTTACGTGCAAGTTCTATTTGACAATTATGTTAATTAATAAATATTAGAGTGGATATTACCGATTTTAGACATAAATATTTCAAAAAGCCTCTACCTCTAAGAATCTTGGAAATGTTTTGACTCAAATGCTTTCGTCATTACCTTGAAATTTATATTAAATTTAAAGTTGGAGTTCGCCCGCGTAACGCGGCAGATGCATATTACATAATAATTTGAACTCAAATTGTGGATGGACTACCATGCGCAAATTGTGAATACAAAAATAATTGACTAAACCGTCGCAAACATATGTAGCTAAAGGGTGAAATAAGTGTCATACATACGGCAAAATGAATATCATATTGTGTTTGCCAGTCGAAAATCCGTTAAAATGGGGGGTGGTTGCATATAATTCAAAAATACCTATAGTATATTGATCTTTCTACCCAACAATAAATTAAGGATTTTTTATGTGAAATTCGGTGAAATCGACGCGAATAGACCTTGCGCTTTTGGCTCATTTTGTACCTTGAATGTATTTCATCCGTAGCTTCAATTTCTGAAAAAATCTCATTTTACCCCGACCACACCCCCTGGCCGAAGGGGGTGGTCATATTGGTCCCACAAGTTGATAGGATCCACCTCGGGTCCTATGCGTAATGTCGAAAACCGATGTCGATTATCTCGATCCGTTCTCTTGTTATCCTGTCTTCGCATAAAGTAGCTGAAGCTACTTAATAAATGAACGAATATTTGAATGAATAAATGAATATTTGAATGAATAAATAAATATTTGAATAAATGAGTGAATATTTTAGTGAATGAATAAATATGTTAATGAATGAATGAATATTTGAATGAATATTCCCTATTGTCAATGAATGAATATTTGAATGAATATTCCCTATTGTTAATGAATGAATATTTGAATGAATGTTGCCTGCACTTCATGACAATGAATGAATATTTGAGTGAACAATTTTTTGTTGAACACGTCTGCTTAGGAGTAGAAGGTCACTACTTGTCGGGCCCCGATTTCGATCTCCTTTGGATATGTTGTAGTACTACATGAGTGTAGAAAAAGTGAAGGAGGGTTATACTCCATGAGCCCATTTACGCCCGCCATACCCCCTCAAAGGCGCCCAAACCCCCAGAGTTGCCGCACTAAAATCCTCGCCAAAAATCGAGTTTTGGTCAGATTCTCAAGAAATTTACATTTTTGTGATCCCAGATAGTTGCTCTATCATATCCAATAGCAGACTCAACTTTTTTGAAATTTTCAATATTTTCGAAGATTTTCTGACCAAGGGTATGTATTGAAAAAATTCGAAATTTCAAAAAAGTTGAGTTTGCTATTGGATATGATAGAGCAACTATCTGGGATCACAAAAATGTAAATTTCTTGAAAATCTGACCAAAACTCGATTTTTGGCGAGGATTTTAGTGCGGCAACTCTGGGGGTTTGGGCGCCTTTGAGGGGGTGTGGCGGGCGTAAATGGGCTCATGGAGTCTAACCCTCCTTCACTTTTTCTAGACTCATGTAGTACTACAACATATCCAAAGGAGATCGAAATCGGGGCCCGACAAGTAGTGACCTTCTACTCCTTAATTTACTTAATTTGTTGATTTTCCATCTGTATTTTGTTATGAAATTTCATTTAGTGTGGGTCCCTAAAATATAGTATAAATATTCATGCAAATACATACATGCATATGTAAATACATGCATAAATTGACCTTGTGCGACTAACGATATACATATGTAACTATTTCAGCATAGTGTAAACTATCGGCCTGACCCTTTTCATGTCATTGAATGCAATAATTAATTATTTGGCAGGTGCTGTAATGCACTCCTAAATATATGGATAAGATCTTTTACGACCGGGTATTTAATAGTATTTATGTGTATGATCATCTAATCTGAAGCGTCCACATTAACTATATAAACAGTATCAAAAAGATAAGTGCGTTCCCGTGAAAACCTGACATACTTGAGTGCACATGACTTTTTATTCATATAAACCCATAAAAATACCCTTGTTTTCACATCTTTTGTGGAAAAAAGTTTTTATAACAAAAGTTTAGGATTGATTAAAAGTTTATGTTCGATAAATTACACATCCAAAACTTATCAGTAGTTTTTGTGCAAGTCGAACTTTACAGCTTTCAGTAACTGAAAACTAATAAAAATTGTCGTTTAAAAAATAATTCCTCTCCAAAAAATTGAGTTAATTTTAGGGTGTGACGTACCCGAGTGCAATACCAATCTCTGGAATGTTGCCAGAAATCCTGCTCCCCTTTTTAAAACGAACTTTGTCCCTTGCCGATCGATTTTGCTGGTTGTCGTTCACTTTTGACAACGAAAAGCAGCTCGTGACCTGCAGAAGGGGGCGTGGGGCATTGTTGGACCGGTTTAGTTCCTTTGCTTATCTGATTTACGTCGTACTGCTAACGTACGGAATTTTGTGGCACAATGACACTTCGAACCTTCTAACGAAGCTGAATTCTGCATTATTCGCCCTACCCCACGTCGCCAATCTAGTCATTACTTTGTATTGGGAGGCTGATAAAGGAATCCCTAAGTTGCTGAATGTCATTATCAAGCGCACCATTGACGCTGATGGGAGTGAAGGTAATATTTCAAACTTCCGCCCAACCAATTAGCACCTCTTTGTTAAAAAATAAAAATAATTCCACCATAAGCTTTTATATTGGTAATAGGTCAGCCTAAACGCGTGGTGCTAAAAATAGCTCGCCTCCTCTTTCTTGCCGTAAAAATTGGATATTTCGAATTTCCCATTGCGATCGCTTGCCTTGTTTTCTTTAACCCATGCCAACAGCCATTCCTGGGTTCAATTCTGCTCTCGTCGATTTCCTGTCAGGATCCATGTGCAATTGTTCGCCTAATCTTGGCGATCTTGGAATTCACCGTTTTACACTATGTAGCCCTGCTTGAGGGTGTCTTTACAGGGTGTCTGCTCTTCGGGGGAATGATCCACCTGTGACTCGAAACGTGTCAAACTTACGCGAAAATATAGAGAGCTTCATGTTTTTGAGAAATTGTTCAACGCCTGCGTACAGAGTCGCATTTCCCCCGTGATCGTGTCTACTTTTCCCATCTTTGAAATACTGGGAGGATTTGCGTGCATCCGCCTTCGCAAGGATATGAACTTCTTGGCATTTGATTTCATCGGGATGGAAACCCTGATCGTCATATAGTGTTCAATCTGATCTTCTTTTCCGGAGCGGGCAAGATTTATACGGGGAGCGTGAAATGGCTGCGAGATTGCAAGGCGAGAGAAACTATGCGCATAAATAGAAAGAGATTAGGTCCTCTCAAAGCTCTAAAAAAGATCAGATTTTTCTGCTCATCGCTCATTCTGATCTTTTCTGCTCGGCTGTGCGCATGCGATTTCGCTCAAAATCAGATTTTCTTGCTCAAGAAAAAAATCGAGTTTTGGGTTGATTTTTTCTCTCATAATCCTGCTCATTCTGCTCCACATCAGCACATCAGCTGTTTGTTTACTTAAATTTTCCATTTAAAAATTAAGCAAAGTTTTCTACAACATATTCTTTATCATTATGGGTCCCAAGACCAAGGTTAAGAGTACCAGTGTCGAAAAAGTTGCAAATTAATTTGTCGTATAAAACGTAGCGTTGCAGAGGTAGACGGCAGAAAAACTTTTCGCTGGACACCACAGATAAAAATTGAAATGGCACATTATGTCGTCGACAATTACACCGCGTTTAAGGTAAATGATGGTTTGTTATCAACATGTAATTTTGTATAACCATATCCTTATCGCAAAAAATGTTTGAGCAGGTGACCAAACGCACGGAATTTCTTCGTCGTCTACAAGATGCTTTGGCCCTTAACTGCGAAGAAAGTCAAATAAAAAATGATTTCTTAAAACGTACACAGAGACTAAAGAGAAGTTAACGGGTTTTGGGATTGACCCGTTCAAGGTTTGAGCAGAAAAATCTGATTTTTTATTTTTCTGCTCATTGCTCATTTCGCTCATTTTTTGAGTCTTGAGAGCTCCTAGCATCCCTAACACCACTGAAAGTAAGGTTTGGTCAGAATTTTGTGGATGGGCTCACTCCACTAATTTTGCAGGAGTTTTGCACCTCTCAAATTGTCAATTTGCTGTTGATTTAAAGTTATGAAATGTTTGTCGAAGCAATCTGTATTTGGTGAGGGGTGCCGTTCTTTTCGACATTAAGGGTCTATAAAGTCCATATGATGAAAATACTTGCAAATTACAATGATTTTGGTTATTTTTTAAGTATGTAGGTAAATATGTGAGTCTGCATGCAAAGAAGGAAATAAACTCTACATTATTGTGTTTATCGTAATCTGCAAACTTGTGACGGTCAAAGCTAGAATTTAATAAGTATGTAATCTGCTTTTAAGTTTAAAGATTAATATTTCCAATCATAATTCCGTTAATGCATATGTATTTAGACACTAATTATTCCAGGATGAGCGCTCATACGTCAAAATTGTATCGAAAACTTAGTTGAAGCACCAGCACTGTCCATTTCTGAACTCGCATCGGCTGTACCGGTCATCACAGTGAAGATTTTGGCACTGTTGTAAGAACAAAAAATAATTCAGAAATATATTTCCATGAAATTTCCAGACTTTTCCTTACCGGGTGTTGACATTGCCACAAGACGACATTGTCCCCAAAGGCCGACGCGGACGAAGCGGGACGACCCTCATCGGAAACAGCGACCCCAACAACGGCGAAAAACGCGAAGAGAGCGACAATCCTGCAATAAGGAGGAACAATTTAGTAATTATTTTCATAGTTTGTGGGGAAAATTTAAATATTTCAGAAACTTACATTTTCAAGGGAGACATCTTTCTAAAGTTTTCGCTGGTTAAGAAGTGCTAGAAGTTCTGGATATGTGTATATATGTTTTGAATATCATTCATTGAAATGATGTTGCTCTTTATACCCATCGATCCTGCAGATAATTGCTCATTATTTCAATTTAATTTTCAATTTGTTTCTGCGTGATACACATTAACTTGCGGTTGATCTTCTCGGAATGTTTACACGAAGCAATAACTTATCTAATTCATTCGGGGTACTATGTATGTTTGTACATAAATAAGTGCGAATAATACGTTGAAAGCAATGTTTTTTCAGTTAATGGCTTTATGCATATCTCCTGCAAGCAATTTTTCTGTCAAGAGCTTAATTAATTAACCACATGCACGTTTAAATATTTATGTATGTACATACATGCATACGTAAATACGTATGTACTGTATCCATATTCACATGGGAAATATCTACCAGTTCTAAGATCCATCATAATGATCAACTGTAATAACTCGATTGAGATAAATAATAATTTACTTATGGCCCAGATGGAAGGGTACTTTTAAATACAAATAAAAACAATTCGGTGGAAATGGACCACGCTGATTAAGTGACAGTGGAAAAATTTATCAATTGTGATAAAAAGTTCTTGACTACATGTGCATATGATTTACATATATGTACATACAACATATGTACATGTATTCAAAAGTAAGAAGGTATGCATGTATTTATACTGGAAGCGGACGTTAGTCGAGTAAAAACTTTACATGATTTGTAATACTTTTCAAAAATATTCACCAATTGCTTACTGCAACTTGACCGTATATAAGTAAATTGGATTAATAATGGTTGATGGTTGGATGCTAAAAAAATTCTAGATTCTTGACAATTAAAAAAAGTATTTAGGAAAGGGTACGTTTTTAATCCAATGCAATATTTTCGATCCCCATTCTCTATATTTACTAAAATAGAACCTTTATGTTGAACAAATTTGCCAGGTACATACATATTTGGTTGCATCATGACCAAGTAAAAAATTTATACTTGGTCATGGTATAACTGGCCTAAACAAAGAATATATGTAACTACATGGCACATACTAAATGACGGCTTAAACGTTTGCTGAATTTACGTATGTGCTTAAATATATGTACATATATGCTTACATACATGGTACATATATAAATATACGTTTAGGCTTGCCGTACGTATGTACATATGTACATGGCAAGCGTTTATACAAATTGAGAAATACATAAATGGTGTATGTATCTGACGATGTACTTATTACATATTTATAGCATGTATTATTTTCCAGTTCACTATAGTGAACATTCCAAAGATATGTATATCAATGTTTGTAATAATGACGTTTGTTTCTAATGCTACCAAAAATTATTCCACCTAAATGAAGGACAAAAAATTAGGAACAATTTTGCTGACGTACATCTAATGTTTTTTTGGACCAGGAGTCTGCTAAACTTCGAGTTTGAAATTTTACTCGGAGATTAGTTTCTTCTAAATTTTCTAAGTTTCTTTAAAATTCGATTCAAATCGATTCGAACATAATCCCGAGCTTTCTTCAAAGTTTTCATGAAATGTGGAAGTTATTTAAAAAATTGTTATGTTTGAGATCGTCTCCACTAGCAAAAAAAATTTCGAACCAACCATTTTCAAACTTTTACTTTCTAACATTTGGCCGCGTTTGCCGACTTGGGATTTTATTCGGCGTGGCACCCATTTCTTGGAGTAATAACCACCTGACAACCAAAGTTAGTTGGTCCCATTGCCTCGAATTTAAATGTTTCTGCACATTTGGAGTGTTTATTCTGTATGCAATTTTCTTAATACGACAATTAGTGACATGCACAAACTTGTGCCCTATGCAAGATATCATCATTGTCACTATCTTCCTGAGTTTCATTACATATGTGTTGCTGTTAATGACTTTGGCCGTCTTACAACCGAAGGAGACCTCTTTCACAGTCAATAAATTGCGCAACTATTTGAGAAGTTACTATGGTAAGTACTGCTAATTATGTAGTTATGAATTTGATAATATGAAGAAGCCTCGAAAAAGTTTTTAGAAGTGAAACAAGTTCCATAATAAATTTAATCTTTTATTACAAGAAAACACCTTTAACCGAATTTTGGATGTATTTGTATTTAGTCATAAGTTGAGATCGGTTTCGCAATTAGAGATCCCGTACTATATAGTGATGGAGAACTTTGACCTAAAAATGGTAAAAAAATGATTCTAGAAATCTCAAATTTTGCTCAGGCGACCTTTTGTGAGAATTAATCGATAATTTGTGTGTACAATGTAATATTTGTTATGTATTTCTTTCGTGGTGGGTACAAGACTATGGTTCATCTATTAAAAATGCGTTATTTTTTTCAACAAAATTATTTGGTACATGTTGTATCTAATTCTTATGAATTTTAAGTTTGAGCGGTTCTTGAAATGCTTCACATATTTTCAAAACTAATAACGTGTTGAAAACTTTGAACCGTTGACACGCACCAGTCTCGTTGATAGGAAAATCAATAAAATATGTTGAATATATTTATTAAAAAATGACGCATTTTTATTAGACGAACCATAAGAACAATGTTTCCACGGAAATTAATAATTTTATCCGGTGCTTTGTAAATATGTGTTTGTGATTTGCGGATGATGCCACCCGATCAATCGCACCCCATCAATCCCACCCCGGCTAACGCACCCCGCCATTGCCACCCCTAGGATGATGCCACCCCTGAGCATTCGCACCCGAGCAATCGCACCTCTGTAGATGCCACCCCTTATCAATCGCACCCCTAGGAGTATCCCACCCCGGATTTTGTGAGATTTTGACAAGTTTTCTGGCACAAATAAATGAGTGTAAATATGCGATATGTTGCTGAATTTATTAGGGTTATAAAACAATGCTAGGATTATCTCATGAGTGAGATTTTGAGTTACCGTCATCGTTTTTAAATAATGGACACAATCCTAAGAAATGAAGGATTTACACATTAATCCTATTACTAGTAAAAATAAAGCTGAACTGATTAATTCGTAGACCTAATTGTTTATATTTTGACGATATTTGAATTTTTACTGAGATTTATTTTCGTTGATATTGACTTATGTGTTTCAATTTTTACGGAGATTTAATTTTTTATAGATTTTTTGTCGAAATATGAATTTAATTTATTAAGCCTGATGATATTTCAATAAATTACACGCCTTAGGGAAGCATTAAGAAAGTAATATGTACATACATACGTACACGTTTGCTTTATTTTGACTAGTAGCAGGATTAATGCGTAAATCCTTCATTAGGATTGTGTCCATTATGGGGCATACCGGTACAAAATCGGCACTGGCAATGTGCTAGTAGGGCGGTAACTCAAAATCTCACTCATGAGATAATCCTAGCATTGTTTTGTAACCCCAATAAATTCAGCAACATATCGCATATTTACACTCATTTATTTATGCCCGAAAATTTGCCAAAATCTCACAAAATCGGGGGTGGGATACTCCTAGGGGTGCGATTGATAAGGGGTGGCATCTACAGGGTGCGATTGCTCGGGTGCGAATGATCGGGGGTGGCATCATCCTAGGGGTGGCAATGGTGGAGTGCGTTAGCCGGGGTGCGATTGATCGGGTGGCATCATCCGCACACCTGTGTTTGTATTTAATAAAATGAAAGCACCTGGAAATTAAGGTTTAAGAAGTGAAAATACATATGTCTAAAGCAAATTTATTGTTCTGAAACAGGTAACTGGCCCATGCCGACAAAAAATGTGGGATCCTTATTAGACAAACTCCTTCTAGTTCTTGGATTCTCGTCGGTTATCATCCCCTTAACACTTTCCATGTACGCGGCTTCAAACCCAGATTCCCCGATGAATATGTTATCCTGCGTTCCGCATCGCTGGAGGTATCACATTGTTATCTAGGCTCTCACAGGCGCTTTGTATTGGACGATAGCCACCCAATCATGGATATTGTTCAGTTTACATCTTCAAATTGCATTAACAGTGATGTTGTTTACGACACAGATAATGTGCAAAGATCTGCACGCTGGGGGAGCAAATAATCGACCCTGGTCTGACCTTGGAAATCTGACGCATGAGTATAGAAGTTTTGAAATTATGCATTTCATTGTTATGAATTATTATGGAAAGTTGGTATTACCTTTCCACATGTTAATTTATGTACTGATAATATTTCCATCCGCGCTCATAATACAACATTGGACAGAAATTAGTGGCCAAACAATTTTGATTATTTCCTACATCATAGTTGGGTTTGGTGCCTTTTGGGGATCACTGCTGTATTTTGGCGGCTACTTCTTTGCTGAAAACCTGAAAACGTTGAGATCCTGGAAAACGTTGGATTTGAGCGAGGAAGATAAAAAGTATATGAAAAAGTTTGTGAGATCTTGTAGACCTTTGCAAAATGTTAAAATGTTAAAATGACAGTTTTACATCGCCAGGACTCAGATTTCTCTGCTTTTCAGCCTCAGATGGCGACTTTTTGCCATAATTTCGTAGCAAGTTGTCTCATCCCCACAGAGAACGGACTCTGCTAGGGGCTGTACACAGTGACATTGCCATTCCGTATGGCTGGGCTCACCCTGTCACGAGACAGCACCTACCCCGTACTAACACCGAGCCGAGTAGGATTAGCAATAGCTTCCCGGCCAGAGGAATCGAACGTGTGACTGCGTGGTGACAATCCTACCCTCGTACCTCTGAGCCATAGGGCCTTGCTTATAGGGGACCAATCTCACTTTAAGTTTAATACGGTGACCATCTTATTTTTCATTAGGGGTATTTCGAGGGGGATTGTTAGGGTTTTATTAACCTCGAGTTAGGGATTTAAAGTTCCTATTTGCACCGGTAATGTGCTTGCCATGTGATTATGCAAAGATAAATATTATGTCTTATAAAGCAAACGTGTCAGCTATCCATAAATTTAAGCAGACGATTCTCTGGTGGTAAGCTATCTAATTAAATACGGTATATATTTATATATGTCTGATGATAGTATTGTGGGCAGTTTTAGATAAGCTGTAATAAAAATGTCTGTACAAGATTCTGTTGATTTTCAGAAAAGAAGAAATTTAAATGTGCGAGATTTTGCAGATTTTCACAATTCGCAAAAAAGGTG